TGTAGTTTATATAATTTGTTTTGCTTATAGGTACACACTCTAGAGAGTAAAACTAACATTTATGAGTTAATTTCTAAAAATATATTTTACGTTTCTCTCTTCTTATCAGGGAGGGCGGTGCCCCAGCACCCCCTATGGGCCGGCCGCCACTGCACTGTCTGTGTAATGACATCCAAAGAGTTCGGTTTTTGCCCTACTGAACCACACAATATACCTCCAGGGTGTTATTTTTTTTTGACAAATGCTTTTTATAAAGTGTACATATGCTTAAACATACTTTCCTCTTTAGTGGAGCCTTGTTTTGCAAGCCAAAAATGCATCCATTTTCTCAAGCTTTCTCTGATGGCTCTTAGACAATTCTTGATCATTTTTTTTTCACTCTAAATCGTGAGGAGCACCTGGTCTCAGTTGTTTTCTGGTGAAATTGTCTCTCTAAATTCAGGTGGTGACCCCAATTCCCAGACTCTAGAAATGTATGTTACCAATGCCATTATCGTGTTATGCAGCAGTAAACAGCGGCACCTTGATAGAGCGTCTGGTTTTGAGAAGTGATTGATTGATATCAGTCTGATATCAGCTGAAGAACAAATCTCGCTACATTAAAATAAATCTCACTACATCTGAAATCTTGAAAAGAAACAATCTGCTTTTGTTTAAAGTTTCTGTTACCCATTGGTTTATAATACGTGGGCCTGTTGTTCTCATACCCATTGTCGTTGACTATTATTCTCCTTTTGAGTGATATCACTTGATCAAGCCTTTTCTAATGTTCTGCGATCTAAAATAATAAAATATAAAAGCTTGTAATATTCCTGTTGATATCACATCTTGTCAATATCTTTATTGGTCATTACTCAAGCTGCAACGTCCGTTTTTTATCAGAAATCAAAAAGTTGAATCGGGAAACCCCTGCTTCTCCACACCTTGGTAATCAGTAACCTTGTTATTGGTTGTGACTTAGGATTAACCAGCGGATATTCATTTGAAGTCGTAGCGAGCAAGGTTGCTTTCTAAATACTGACGTCGTTTGGTTATTTTCTTGGCTTCCTGTACTTTGTTCAGGTAATTTCCTGTTTTTTCCATTTTATTACACATGATTCATGGGCTTATTTATGTCTGATTTTTGTTTGATTGAATTACATGGGCTGCCACTAGCATAGCGTGTCAGTTTAATGTCAATAAAACCCTTAAAAATATATTTAAACCGGAAAATGGTTCATTGTTGTAGAAATTGCTAAATTGTACAGTTGTTTTTTTTCTCATTTACTTTATTTCTCACAAATTTGTTATCACACAAGAGGCTGTGATGGACACCAGTGTCAGTTTTCTGTTCAGGCTTCATTACTTGCTTTTCACTTGTTTTCTTGGCACTGCAACATAATGTTTGCCAAAGCCTATCAGCCTTCTCTGAAGACTCACCATTCGTCTGGCCGACAGTTTGGCTTTCTTTACTTCCTTCCTCTCATTATTTTACGCTCCGTTTGTTTGTCTTTGCATCTTGCTGATTCATACATTCTGCTCTTCACATTCTTGTCACAGTCATTGTTTGCTCTCTTCACGCCTATTTTTTTTCTTTCCTAATGTTTTTTTTCTTCCTTTTTTTTGAGACACAGGTGCCTCCCTGTCCCACTGTGCCCTGTTCCCCTCTCACTCAGGACGCGTTGATACTTTTGACCTTTCACTCTCGGCTAATCGGCACTGGTATGCTGCTCATTCACACACATGGTGTGGCGCTGAAGTGCGAGCTGAAGCAGGGGTTGCAGCTGTGCATATTGTGCTTGTGTTTCTGTGATAATTGTCACGGCTGTCAGGAGGATGGAAAAAGAGGCGGATGATAAATGTTTTCAGACACTCAGCTGGGATGTACCTGTACGGAGGTTGTCGTCTCACATTATTCAGCTGCTTTAGCTAAATTCAGCAATGCTTAAGCGCCGTATGCCTGTCAGAAAAAAGGAAAAACTGCTCAATCATGAGGAGACATCTGCGTAGGTGTCACTGGGATCCTTAAAAATCCAATGTTTACAATGAAATGCCTGTGAGAGCTGAAGCCACCAGAGTGTGGATCTATGTCGTCCTTATTAGTCTTTTAAGTGCCTCTGATTTGTGGCATGCAGCCGGTCTGGGATCTTGATGGCCACATTACAAGCTATTATGGATTTATTATGGTTATATTAAAGGATTAGGTTTCCTCACCTATTTTATAAGCAGCTGTCTCTCAAGTAATGGGCCATTTACAATGTGCTGCTGCTAGAAAATCCAGACTACAGACTACATTTTATTGAGTTAATTTGTCACATTAAGGAGACAGGTTGCATGAGCTTGTGGTGGATTGTATACAAGGTCATATCCCTTTTAAACATTTCTTTTTTTTGAAGTTATAGTCATAGTTTGAGTATATTTTCTGGTTGAAGCCTTAGGCTTCTGTCTGTCACACCGAGTCCTGATGGGTTAAAAAAAAGATATTCAAACAAGCCTGAGCCTATTTTCTATAAGTGTTTTACTGAAGGCATTGACCAGGTTTGTCCGTCCCGATCGCCCTCCCTCACTGAAAGACCGGAAACATTTCCTTTCTCTCTCTTGCAACATTTTGTTGAAATCTCCTCAGGCAGTAAGAAGGATGTTTGAAATTCCTCAGACACCTAGCTCGTCTGGTGTCTTCATAAAAAAAAAAAAGTCTGCAAGAAATTCCAAAAAAGGAAAAAAAAAAAAAGTCTGTCAAAACTGTAGCATTGGTTGAGTTTTGATGTCCTACAGTGAGCAGTGTGTGTGTATGTGTAAACGCTTCCCATGGTGTCTGTTTAAGGATGTGATTTGTTTCCCTTTGGTTGTGGAGGTCTGTTTTGTCTTCTTAGAGCTAGAGACATATCCTGTCTCAGTCAGCAGCAGAAAGGAGTGGCCAGAAGGCAAAACCACAGGGGGAGAAGACAGCAAACTAGAGAAAGAGAGTGTGTGGGTACAGAGACAGTCTGCTAAAATCAGACAGCAACACAGTTACTGTGATGGAACTGAAATATATTAGAAGCCTCCAAACTAAACCTAGCACTTCTCTGAACTACTGCTGTCTTGCTGTTACACCCTTTTTTTCCTGAACAGATCCATATGTAGGTGTCGTTTGTACTTCTGTGTGCATAAATGCATGATTTGCTTCTTTTAATACATGCAGAAGTGCACAGTGGTTAGCTTAGAGTTAATATTTTAGAGCTAATGTAGAGAACAGGAATGCTGACAGAGACTGGATTAGCTGGAGGGACAGATAGCAGCCGGTGAATGACTGCAAAGGAATTTTAGGTCTAGAGGTTAATAATGTCATCTGTTGGGGTTACAACACAAAGTTTGCAGAAAATCCACTATAAAGGGATAGCTAACAGTGAGGCTCTAGTCGCAGTCTTCAGTCTCACTTGAAATGAAACGTTTTTATTTTATCTCCCATATATCTATTGATATAATCGTATAGACAGATGGATAGTTGGGCTAATAGTGACTCCTGAGAAGAATAGACCATAAAACACTGAGCCCTGATTTCTTAGTGCAAAGTATTTAATTTTTAATTTACATTTTTTTACCCATATCTTTATATATATCTGGATATATTTTAAGATAGAAAGAAGCTCAAGAAAAGCACTCATAGTACCAGCACGTTTTTACTTATGCTACATTCAGACCGCAAGCGCTGGAAGCTTGTACTGCTTCATTTTTGATGCTAGTTCACATTTAGGTCAGACACATGTCAAGAGCAGCTTTTCACTCCTGAAGCGCATCCAGTAAAGTGTGTCCACGTGCGTTTGGTGCTTCTGCTGTTCCTGTGTTCAACAGCCGAGAGCAGCTTTGCTATATGTGCTGTTATAAGTTGGTAAAAATTAGTTTTCATATGTTTTTTTTAAGTGAGAAAGTCCATCTGAAAACGTCGTCTGTGCAGTCAGTTCATCAAGATTACGATCCTGCCTTCAAATGTTATTTTGCTGCTAATCAGACCCTCTTTGTCACTGGAAACCCTGTTTAACTGCAGCCTCTGGCACGGTCACCTCTTCGGGGTTTTCCGCTAATTTTCACAGCAGTTGGAAGGCGTTTTTTTATGTACGTTATCCAAACTGCAGGCACCAGAATAATAAAAGCAGACATATTATGCCGGACAATTTTGTCATTTGAATTTAGGCGTTAATAAACTGTTTCAGAGGAGTCATGATAGCGATCTGCATCAGCAGCGTTGTGTCTTTCTCCCTGCCAGCTCCCAGGTCAGCTTCTCTGATTAGTTCATGTGATGCTTCGACCAGCAAAAGTAAAAAATTTTCAACTCCAGCAGATGCTGCTTTTGCAGCGCATCCTGCACTTCAGATTCTCAAAGGATCACAGGGCGCTGCTTCAGCTGCAATGGACCTTTTGCTGCGCCTTGATGCGCTTCAACCACTGACTTTGCAGAAGTAGCAGAAGCAGCTAGTTTAAATGCAGAGTGCTGTCTGAGCGTAGCATTAGCTCTTCTAGAATTGTGTTTTAAATGCATCACAAAAAAGTTAAAAAACAATCCACTGGACTTTGTTTTTGTGGTCTTTTAACTTTTTGGGAATGAGTGATGACCTGGATAACTGAGAAACTTCACCAGCATGTTTCAAATACAGTATTTTACATTCACCAGATTGGTAGTTAATTATTTACAAGTCATCGGCAATATGAACATCTAATTTAAGAACCTGTAACATTCTGATGTCAAATGGGATTTGGCTGCGCTTAACTTTTGTGATAGGGCATTCACATAATCTCACTTCAGAAATCCCAACTACCCTTTTAGGATGAAGTAAATAAGTAATCTCCAAATATAAACAGATCAAATGCATTAAAACAAGTTTCCCTTGTGTTGACTGTGAAGCTATAGTTGTAGCAAATGAAAGGAAGCAAGCTGTAATGTTTTTTTTCCTTTGTTTTTTTGCCTGAACGCCACTGTGAGAGTAAATGTGTCTATAAATGCGATCAAAATGTTTGCCGGAGTGCAGTGAGGCCAGTATCTGGAGCAGAGGGCACATTGGTGCTTTTCTGTCTAATGAGCACTACTCTGCTCTTTTCCTGTTGTCTTTGTCTTGTCTGTCTGTCTATCGTACTGCACTGCGGCCAAAATCAAAATCTCCAACCAACCATGCAACCCGGCCTCACTACCTAGCATGCCAGGGCAGTGCCTTAGGGGTGCTGACAGACTTACTGCAAATCCAGGCCTCATAGGCATTAAAAATATTCCCACTGATCGCCATTAAAGGGCTGTACATTTACCGCCGTTTCCTTCAGCTGTTTGCAGGGACTGGAAAAAAGTGTTGCAGGTTTGTCTATGATGGAAACTAAAAGGGTTAAAAAGCAATTCCCTAGTGAATAAGAGTTTGATTATGGGAAAGCTGCAGTGAAGTAAAGGGAGAAATTCAGAAAGCAGAAAAAGGGGAAGAGTGAGACTGAAAAGATGAGAGTGATAAATATGTGACGTACATGTGACTGATAGACACATCAGGGCTTAAGATAGGAATGCATGATTCCTTATCAGCTTTGCCTTTAAAAAGTCTGAGTTCAGTGGGTGTGTTCATGCATATTTGCCCTTTGGACAATAAGCTGATTAAAAAAAGCCTAATGTCAAAATAAAAAGCACTCCTTTTTCAGTAGTGCCAATCTTAATTTCATGTAATGTTGTATTTTCTGTTTAAATCGAACTAAACTGTTTTTTTTTTTTTTTGGCAGAAACAACCGCGGACGAAGCCCAGGCATTCCAACTCTAAACCTATTGATAGCAACTACTTTGGGATGCCTCTGGCTGCTGTGGTCACTCTAGAGAGACCAATCCCTGTCTTCATTGAGAAATGTATCCGCTTTATTGAGACAACAGGTAAGCATCTCCAGTAACCTTCTTTGATATGTCCAAATCAGGTACTTTCTTATAGTAATTTGGTAAATGTATTCATTCCGCCTTTTACTTTTACTCACATCAACATCCATAAACTTCAAAGTGTTTTAATTAGGATTGTAAAACAAAGGTTGTCATCATTGTGAAGTGTTCAGAAGGTGTTGCATTGTCTTGAATTGTTTTTAATGATCTAAAAATGCATAAAGTAATGTCTTTATAGCTGCAAGTCTGCTGGGATGTGTCTCTACCGGCTTTATACTTCTAGGTTGAACTGGATTTAAAGTCTCTGTAGAGTTCTTTTCCTCAGATTCTTACATTTTTTAGGTCTAGACTTGGCTAGGATATTCAAACACATGAATGGTTAGAATAGATAACAAGTTAAGCTTTGGTTTGATATTTAATTGTTGTTTTTCTGCGAAGAGAACCTGTGCCCCAGTCTGATGTTTTTGTATCAGCACCATCTTTAATCTAGCCAGTGTTCAGGGTAATAATGCAGTATAGGTTTTCCATAACATACCACACTTTCATGTTCTGGTTTTGTATCTTATTATCGGAACCCTGGATCTGCAACAAAAAAAAAACAGCTGGAACTGTTACTTTGTATTATTTTCCCTAAATACAATTAGTTGCTCTTGATCTAAAACCGCATTCCCAATCAGAAAGGATTTTAACCAAACCAAATGCATTCAGCAAATGCTGTTTGAGCTGAAAGATCTGTATGCTGAGGTTAATGCTGCGTCTCAGTGTTTAGTTTGCAGGTCATTAGTCGGGTGTCAGCAACAGTTACTACATCTTTTTGCACAGATAACCTCTTGTAGCTTTTCCACCCAGACGCCAGGCTCCCTGCCAGGTGGCTCTGGTGCCCCACTGCCCTGGGACTGCCAGCTTTCCCCCTTACTCTTCCAGCAGCTGTTAAACTAAACCAGAGGGTGAGCTTTAATACTGATCTCTTGGTTCTTTGCTCAGTTGGGATTTCAAAAGCTTCCCTCTACCTCTATTACAGGCAGTTCATTTCCTGCCACCTGCTCACACTTAATATTTGGGCCTTAAACATTTACTTTCTTACACTTAGTTGCATATGTGCAGGCCTTTGAGTTCAAATGTTGCTCCTCTTGACTCACATTCCATTGCTTTCCAGTTTAATCTGTGGCCTGATTAAGGTCTCTGCGTTTGTGGATTACTGACTTACGAAACATCCACCTCCTTCCTGCATGTCTGAGCGTAGGGGCAAAGCCCTAGATAACAAGGCATCATGTCTGATTTTGCCTCTCCCTCCTCAGATGTTAACTGAAGCAGTCACAGCAGTTACTGCATGAGAAAGAAGAAAAACTGGTTGAATAGGTGTTTACTTGCTCAGATGTAGACGCATAAAGCTGAATTTGCCGCTCTCTCTCAGGTAGTCTAGCCCTTTCATCCTCACTTGTTTACCTACAGTATTCTTCCTAATCCTCTTCGCTTCAAGTTCCCAGGTGTGTCTCTCTTTTTTCCTTTCCTGACTACTTACACCTGTCATATCTTATTTCTTTCATTCCTTCTTGAATATGTTTTTTTATTCCTCCTCCCCATCATTCACTCTTTGAATCCTGAATATATTCCACTCCCACTCTTCCTCTTCTTTCTCTCACCTGCTATCTGTCAGTATGTGTTTTTTCCTGGAAGCTTCCACGTACTGTTCTGCCCCACAGCTCCCTCTGTCCGCCCAACTTTGCTAGGTTGGGAAATTAAAGGATCTTTGTCCTCGACTGTTTCCAAGTTTGGTTCATTCGATTTTTCACACTGAAGAAGTGGCGCTCCCACAGTTAGAGTTGACATATATGTGTCAATGAAAGCTACTTTTTGCAAAAGGGATTCTTTATCATTCTGGGTCAGCTGTAGCGGTGAAGCTCATCATAAATGAATCACTTTAAAAACCATGTGTCACTAAATATGTTTTTTTAATATTCCTAACAATAGTATAAACACATAGCAGCATACGTTAGTTAAAGATCGCCCCCCCCCACTGTTTACAGTTATTGTAGGAGGAAACTTTTCATAGTTTGTTCAGTTAAAAAAAAAAAAAAAGCACTCGACAGTTTGTTTTTCAACCCGTTTCGCTATTTCATTATAAATAAACTTTTATAGGATAAAATCTACCCAAAGGCAATTTGAACTTTTACGGCTGAAAGTGGATACTAGACACTACGTAAAAAGACACATAACATTTTTATCTCAGTCTGAAATTAGCAGACAAAACTGCGTCAATTGCTATGAAAAATGTCAGTTTAAACAACCCAATCAAATCCTTTGGTTATAGATGTATATAGGAGCTTAATTTATTTTTGTTTCACAAGGTTTTAGTTAATTGATTATTTATATATATATATATATGTATATGTTTCCTTCTTTTCATTATTAGGATGACCATTACAGACCTCAGAAAGTCTGGGTTATTCTTGAGCACAGTTTCCATCAAGATGACCGAATGTGTCATGTTTGTCTGTATAAGCATTAAGTATATTTTATGATGGGAACGACCAGCTGTAAGAACAAAAGAAAAAGACCTTTGGAAGCTGCTGGCTGAAATTGATTTTGTATGTAACATGGGCTGAAAGGCCAAAAAGTTAACATATAGCAAACTTGGCTAGCGAATGGCTATATGTTGAGCAGGCAGGTAGGTCCTCCCCTTTACATCTACATAGCTGTGTGAATGCTGCTATTATGCTAACAATGATTAAAAACAGGAAAGAGAAACATGGACAGATGTAACAGCATTAACCTCAGCATACAGAATTTGCTGAATCCTTTTGGTTTGGTTAAAATCATTCCTAATTGGGAATGCGGTTTTAGATGAGGAACAACTAAATTCTATTTAAGGAAAATAAACAAAGCAACAGTTCCAGCTGTCTCACTGTGTGGTGTGGAGGCTGCAGCGTCTCAGACTGGAAGAAGGTGAGAAGAGTGGTGAGAACAACAGAGACGATCAGGTGGTCTCCTCTTCCCTCCATTAAAGACATTTCATCCCTGCGTTGTGTGTCCCAACCCCATAACACTATAAATGAGCCCTCACACCCCCACCATGGACTGTTCTCCCTGCTGCCTCTGGGAAGAGACTTTGAAGCATCAGATGCAGGTCCAGCTGATTCCAGAACAGTTTTTTCCCCACCGCAATTGGACACCTGAATGTTGTATAAAATGGAGCCTAGGCGGAAGTTCAACTGAAGAAACTCATTGCTCTCCTACATCCACCTGCAATGCAGCCAATCAGCTTTGAACACCTCCATGAAAGCCAATCGGCATCCAAAGTTCATCTTAAAAGACCTCCGATCCGCAACTTTTCTGCTGCCTTGCGCGCAGGCGGTGGTTGCGCTGTGTGACTTCATTCAGATGACCCCGTTTCAACCCACCTCCAGCCCCTCCTCCACCATGGTAGCTAAAACTTCATCAGAGTTTCATCATTCCCGGACTCTTACTGCATTCCGGCTCTCATTTCAACCGATCCGGCAGAAGACCACCATATTGAGCCTGATCCTGTCATATTCAATCAGACTTGCAGCTATAAAGACATTACTTCATGCATTTTAGATAATTAAAAACAATTCAAGACAATGCAACATCTGAACACTTCACACATTTTTATATATTGTACTGCCAGTGAAAGAAAAAGGCTATAAACTTGGCAACTAGTTTCTTTGAAAGAAAAGGTCCGCAATAATAGATTGTTTTTTGCTCTTTAAGGTGTACAGATTGCAGCCGCATAGAAAAGTAGGTGGTAAATAGGCATAAGGACATACTTTCTTTTTCAATGGCTTATAAATAAATGGTTAGAAGGGAATTTTTGCAGATGCATATGGGATGAAATGAAATGTTTTTTGAATTCACAGAGAAAAATCCGCTTATGAACCGTAAAATTACTGTAGTGTTTGTTTTCTGTTTTTTTGTTTTATCTGTAACGACAATATAGTAAGCAAACATGCAATTGCATAGTTTTAACAATAATCAGAATAGTCAGATTGACAGCAATGCTACTGAAAGCAGAAAAAAAGTAAATCTAGGTTAATGGTTACAAAGGGGGAAAGGCATCAATTTGAAAGCACCTGAGCTATTCTCTCGACGTTTTATTCCTCAAATTCATTTTCCCTGCTCCCTTGTTTCACACATCTGCCTCTTTGAATCTAGTGCATGCAATAGGCTGCCTGTTCGACAAGCTGAGGGAAGGAGACAGCAAGACTTAGTTTGGTATTCTACGTTCCATTTATTCTCCATCATTGTTCTTGTTGTCGACTATTTTGAACTCCTCTCCCCTACAGCAAGTGGATCCTTATCTATTCATCTCTTTCTTGTTGTTTTTTTTGCATCTGCTACAATAGCTTATTTTCCTCTTTTAACAACATTAAAATCAAAATGTGATTCAACTCGAATCCAGCTTCTATGCCCCTTTATTTTACAGCATGAATTGTTCTGTATATATTTTGTTCATATTCTTATATAAAGACACAGCTTTAAGCCTTGAGTATCATCAAGCTATTTTATGTCATTTAACTTCAATAATATATACTGTAGGTTTGCTAGAGACAGAGTGATGTAATCTTAGTCTTATGTTTTGGTTTATTTTAATTATGGATTCAAGTTCATTGCAGTGTGAAGGTGATCAGCCTCAGCTAAGCTTCACCTCCTGTATTACTTAATTGCAGCATTCACCTGGTTTGCATGATTTAGTCTGACCCTGAATGTACGGTCCAAACACTCCGCTCAGCTTAAGAGCCCAGGGGAGATCTGTTGAGTTGTGTTAAATAGTTATATTCTAAAATGGGTATACCCATTAAATGCAGAGAAGTTATATTTGTTGCACATTTTGGTGCATTCATGTTAAATTGTTATATTTTGATGATCAAAGTTAAAAAATAAAGCCCGGTAATGTCTTCTATATATGCAGCCACTAATGCACACACGGCTAAATATACTCGTACATGTATTGATATAATGAGGTCTTTAAATAAGCCTAAGTAAATTGTGAATTGTTTTGAAAATCTGGATGCAGTTTCATCCTGGGACCATGTTATGTCTGCATATTTACTATAGTTTAGCAAAAAAAGAATTGAGTTGAATTTTGCCAGCATACTGTCTGCTCTCCGTGATGTAAACTGCAAATTGGGGGTTAGCTTCCCTTTAAATAGTACTCCATAGTTCTGTGTGTTTAGGACAGGTCATTCACAGTGAATCTGTGGTGTTCATTATAGCACCTATTGGTGAATTAGGCAGTGTTGGCAGGTGCCAAATTCTGCAGGAAAATGAAATTGATTGAGTGCACTAAATTTTCCTGCTAGATGACATAATAAAACACAGCGGACACCAGCAGAGGATCCCTAATCATGAGCAACTTTAAGAGCTTCTCTACTCCTTCTCCTCAATCATGGACCTTGATTTCCTAATGAAATTCACAGTCTGTAATTGTTTGACCTCTGCTATTGAGGACTATTCTGAATACTTTTTTGTTTTCTCCCACTCAGCTTTATGTTAATATGCTCGGATGTAGAACTCTAAGAACATAGCTTACCTTCTGATCACATTTATTCCTAATATTCTTCAATTGATTTAACAGATTTTTAAAGAAGGGGTGGGATTTTCCCCTTGGTACACTGCTTCTAACTCCTTTGTAAATCTGCAAAGGTGGGGCTATACTTTGATGCAGTTGCTTTCCTTCATTTCCATACATTTTTTAGCCTCCTGCCCACAAACTTATCTATGTTCTTTTCATGTTTGATTAAAAATGAAAATTGAATTTTGGAGGGTGCCGCTGACTGCAGACAAGTCATCAGATGTCCTCAGGATGGTGATGGCTATGATATGGTCATATAAGTTGCTACACATAAATGCCTGTAATGTATCCCGTATGTTTTAAAGAATCAATATAATGTAAGAGTTTTATTTTTAATAACTATTCTTATTTTCTTCTTAGTTGGTTTTAGTAGTAACCCTTTGAAATGTTTTACTTTTTTATACCACTTTTTTCCTTTTCTTCTCTGACTGCATTATTTGCCCAAAGTAGTGGCTTTTTTCATTTTGTCCTTGAGATTAATAGGAGTGGATGTGGGTTTTTTCATTTGCTTTTTTTTTTTTCTAATGCACTCTGAGTTTGCAGAAAAGCAGCCATATAAAATCAATCCAATGTGACTGCTGTTATCTCCTCTTAGCTCAAGCTCTCTCGTGGTGCGGTAGTCTCAGGGTGCACAGCTCATCACGGGCACCTCGGGTGATAAATCCGCTGTAGCGTGCACGGGGCATATCTGCTGGTGGTGGGGGCTGCCATAGCGACGCAAAAGGGCAGCACCCAGCGACCGGCTGTCTCCATAGTGAGCTATGAAATCGGCCTCTGGGGCTGCTGAAGACACCCCTGGAAACCAGGCTTGGTCTGGAACTGATGTGGGATCAGCTGGTGTTGTATCAGGCAGAAACACGTTACAGAAAGGCAGCCCAGGACCCTAAAGAGGTTTTATTACTGTTGGTTTCATTTCTGTTCACTAAGTAGTGGATAGAAAATTTGAGGTTGCAGCAGCGAGATGTTCATTGAGAAAATTTTAAGTTGATAAATTTAACTACAAGCTGGAGAAACTAGAATCTCTTCAAAGGAAAAGTAAAAGTGAAAAAACGCCATTTTTTCCTCTTCCTTCCCTCTTCCATTAGCTGCGATCTTCCTCTTCTTTGCCATACCTACTTTGACCCTATCTTCCACCCTTCCTCTTCACCATTGTGACACAACTCCTTCCCGTTATCTGTCCTCCCATCCCTGTTTTCCCCGCCACTGACTTGCAGAGCTTTTGTGGAGAATTGATTGGCAGAAGGCGCAGATCGATGCTGTATGCCTCGACTGAGAGCTCTCTCATTTCCTCCCTGCCTCTCCCATTATTTCATCATCTTTTTTTTTTTTTTTTTGCCCATGTTCTGTGCTTACTTTGGAATACCCTTTGTCTCCCATAGTCGTCCCCAAAGTCTGAGTGAGGGATGAAATCCAAGACCGAGGATTGAAACCTTATCTTTTTTTTTTTTTTTTTTTCAATTTGGTGCAAAATATTGATGATCCAAAATGTGGTGAGGTTTCTGTGCCTCTGCTTTCTGTCACTGCCCTGCTTTCACTTGGTTCCCTATGTCTTAATCGATTTGGGGAGAAAATAATCATCAATTATGCAACATATCTGAGTGGCCCATGGTTTCTTTGTGTGGTGAATGAAAATTAAGATCATGGATACAATACAACCTAAATCTGGTCAATTATCTTTCTAAATAATAATGGATATGTTTTGACTGAAGGGGAGGTATGTCTGATGTAGGATGTTCTAATTGTAATCTGGATAAATCTTTTGAATAGACTTATTATCAAAGGATCATTTTAGGGGCATCATTGATGTTAAAAAAAACAATTAAATAATTCTCCTCAGCTTTTAAGATCTACCTTTTTACTAAATTTAAAGGTAAATGTTGTTACATTAAACTTAGCTTATACAATTAAGCAATATTTGTTGATAAAACTTTTCACCATAATTTGATTAATATGACATGGTTAAAATTATGGAGATACAAAGTAAAATTTTCTCAGATTCCGCTAGCATTTATCTATTTGGATCTCTTAAAGGAGATTTCAAGTTTGGTGTATTTTGATCATTGCATGCAATTACATTTCAAAGCCCCTTTTTAACTGCATGCAACAGTTTTTAATGATTAATTGTGACGCTATTATTTTTCATTGATAACTGCTATAAGTCACTTTCCTGGTTAGAAGTCTGCTGACAATAATCCAGTAAAAGTTTATTTGGCACATTTTCACAAACATGATGTCACTTGGGATGGGTACATTTTACAGTCTAACTATTACCCCATCTATAACTGATGTCAGCGTATCGTTGTTGGTACTCAATAATACGTCTTTTAAGGTAATCTTACTTGAAGATGGTGATGATGTGACTGCAGGTCGAGTCGCTAATGGATGCATGCAATCTATTGTTCCAAGTTTAAGGGCTGGTTAGCCGTCCTTCTGAGGTTGCACTATTTAGCCTTGAGTAAATCTTGTAGTTAACCAGGTGTTTTCTCAGGTAAAAGTATGGCAGCCACTTTCCTCACACTTGGCGTCACAAGCATTTAAGAAGCTGCAATCTTTATCACAGTGGAGCCGTACTGTTGAGCAGTTATATTTACCAAGGCTTGCTTTGTTTGCTCTACCACCAACATCTAAAATATTATTACTCTCCTGTGGGTTTATTGCCGTCAGTGTTCATTAGGGGTGAAACGGTTCACAAAATCCACGGTTCGGTTCGGTTCACGGTTTCGTGGTCACCGTTTTCGGTTCGGTTCGGTATATGTTGATTGTTAGCCTGACATGTTGGTCATGTTGCTGTTAGCATAAACAAAACGTGTTGCACAATGCTTGCACACTGTTGCACTTTTATCCACAACTTTCTTTCCGCCGTCATCGTAGGTCACTAAATGTAAAGCGGCCCCATACAGCAGACCTATAAAGTGCTGCTGGCGCGTCTTCCAACTCCTGTTCTTTCCCACTCGCCATACCCACACAATTCTCCACAACAACTGATTTTTTTCTGCTCCACCCGGCTACGCTGCTTCGATTCTTCTTGTTTACTACTGGTGGTTGGCTTTGGTCGCAGTACCGCCACCTTCTTCTCGGGAGTGAACATGCTTCGCCTATGAGAAAAATGAGCAGCGCATGAACCGAACGCAACACATGCGAACCGAACCGAGACAGTCGAACCAAATGGTTCGGACGGTTTTCATAAACCGTTCCATCCCTAGTGTTCATGTCCATCATGTCCACCACTTCCTCTGTGTCACAATTATGTGTTTAAAGTCACTTTTGAAAGCCTTTTATTGTCATTGTTCACAGTACAATGAGATTTGGAGAGCAACTCTGTAAAAGAGCTCACATAAATAACATATACATACATATACAATACATTAGTGCAAGTCTGAGTGTAGGTTGAGTATGGTGACAGCTTTGGGGAAGAAGCGTTCCCTAAATCTGTTTGTTCTGGTCCGTATTGACCTGAAAAACCTGCCTGATGTTTTTGTTGTTTTCCTTTTACGTCTTCTTTTCTAAGACAAGACAAGTTTTCTAAGACGAGGGATTTTACTTAAAGTACTTTATATATTTATTTGAAATATTGCTTGTATTTCACACTTCTAACTTGAGTTTTCTTTGTGTGCATATTTTTTAACCTCTTTTATTCTCTGTTAATTTAATTTAAGCAACATCTAATTTTAGTCGTTCATTGCTAGGGAACACACTTGCAGGCAGCCTGCCTTAACTCACTGAATAAACTAAAGTTATATCATTTGAAAATAAAAAACTTGTATTTGTTATGGTCTTCTGTAATGAGTATTTTTTTTATACCAACAACATGAAAAGTGTGCTTATAAAAAAGGTAACTTTAGTTTATGCTACTCAAGGTGTAGGAGTTCTAAAAGGTTTCTTAGCACACTTTATTTCTCCCTCTGTGTACATTAAACCGTTGCTATAGATTCTTAGCCTTCTTTGACTCACCATAAACATTTCCAAATATACACCTATAGTTTCTGAACCATTTTGCATTTTTCTGTAAGCAGTGTGACACTGGTTCTGGTTCTAACTTGCCATTTAAAGTTTTTGCAAATGAACACTGAGCTAAAAGCAGTTCTCCCCATCTGTTGTCCTCAGGTCTGAGTACAGAGGGAATCTACAGGGTCAGCGGCAACAAGGCGGAGATTGAGAGCATGCAGCGACAATTCGAACACGGTGGGTACTTTTCTCTTACAGTCTACTGTACACTTATTAGTGTGGAAAAAATGCAATAAAGATGCATGTGCATGTCTGCCTCTATCTTAACGAAAGCTGCATCGAGCACAGTGTATTAATTGGTCTGCAGAGCTGCCCCATTAATCATCATCCAACTCTGGTGTGCATCCTCACACACGTACAGGCGCTCTGAATGTGCATCTGTCTGGCGAGGGCAGGTACAGGTTGCCTCCAGATTGGTTTGGTTAATGAAGCACGTTGCTCTCATGATGGATAGCAGACAAAGATAGCCTATACAGGTATTTGTGTGCACACTTGGCTGCGGTTGAATTCAGCTCGGGTAACCAGAGTTGAAAATCTGCACTGAATCATTGGAAGCCTTCTTTCTACTGGGACGAGTCAATTAAATGTGAAACTTACAGTACAGGTGGTGCAGAGCTGCGTGGAAGATGGTCTTTTAACAAAGAAGGTGTTTAAAACCCATTTCACGTGCAAGTAGCTGCAGAAGAAACTAAGCTTAAAAATGTTCCTCTTCTTTAAATACATGCTACCTTATAGAGAAAAAATGTCATAGGGTAGCTGGTGTTTGGTTCCTACTCCTCTGGTTTTGCTTGCTTCATTTTCTCTTCATCTGAAAAAAACAAAAACTTTTTCTTTATCTAAATTGGTCCTAGTCAGGTTTATCTTTGTATCTGATTTAAATTAACGTTAACTGCACCTGGATGTAACCCGTTTAGTTTGGTAACATTTGTTGTTGTATCACAGCAACAACTACAGTGATTTATGTTTATGATTAATGAATATATATACTATATACTACTACTATATATACAATATTAAATACTAATCCACATAGCCTAAATTATGCATTCATTTGAATCAGCCTGACTCTTTAAGCACATTGTTATTTTTCTAAAGTGCCTTTGGTTTTATGCTCTGAAACGGCCATTCAAGAAGCTCTTTCAATTGGATAGTTTTATTTTATTTTTTGATTTGTGTTTTAGGTATTTGTCTGGGGTAAGTCTAGTTTTGCATTTATTTATTCTCCAAATGCGTGTGATTGATAAAGTTTACTGCAAAGGTGTTGAAACGTTTTCAGAATGACTCCGTTTGCCCCGGATTTATGGCGGTTTTGTCATTGTTTTCAAACTTATCCTCTTTAATCAGTGTAGCAGTACCACTGGCAAAGAGATCAGACACAAACACACAGCATCATGCTGCCACCACCATGCCAATGATTAAAATGTTCATATCTTTAAGCCGTAACTTGACTTCTCAAAACACAGTTTGGTTATTCTGGTGAAATAAAACAACCATTTTTTAAATGTCAGGGCTCTATGTTAACCATCGCCCGATCTCCCAAGGCAAATTTCATTGTTTTTGCCCGCCGGGCAAGTGCAATGATCGCAAACAAAATTATTTATCACTCAAAATTACTTTAAAATCACCGACATTCGATGAAAACGACCCAGAAGCGCTGCCGGCGCCATGTTTGTTGTTTTGTACACATTCTCGCGTGTGATTTGAAATAGCCGGGTGATTTTCCGCCAGATGGCGTGATTTTTGTCCACCTAGCAGTAATTTTGATGTAGTTACCAAAACGACAAACGGCTGCATTTATTTTGTCAGGGAAAACTAATCCCGAGTCAGTTAAAAGTCAGGGAATTCTGAAATTATGTAAGACTGTGGAAACCCTGTATAAAATAACTATGTATAATGATTCTCTAGAAAAGTCACATTATATTAATAGTGTTATCTTGTATAAACATACCGTGACTCTAAAATAAAAACGTCAACCCCTGAATGTGATCATCAACTCTTGCACGATTACAAATTTAGGTTAGGATTAAGCATGTTTCTTTGGAGCATGGCTTGCCTCTTGGTCAACAAAATCTGGATGCTGATAAAAAGTTAGGACATCTTGGAAACATTGATTGATGGAAATTAACAATAGATTCAAAGTTGCTCTCCTAATTCTTATTTCAAAAAATAGTTGAGATCAATTCTCCCTAAAAAAAAAAATGGTTCAACTATTATTAGCAACGCTCAAAGTTCTTAAGACATTCATGGACATAATAAATACCTGAAGATTTGACCTGAACTAACTTCTTCCAATGTTGCTTCTCTTTCACAGACCACAACCTGGACCTTGAGAAGGACTTGAGCATCAACACAGTAGCAGGAGCAATGAAGGCCTTTTTCTCTGAGCTTCCCGAGCCCTTGGTGCCCTACAGCATGCAGACAGAGCTGGTGGAGGCCTTCAGTAAGTCCCCGGAGCTTAGAGCGAGGGAGGCGGATGTGTGGAAAGCCAGCTTCTGCAACTGTGTTGAATTTTGCATGAAATCCCTCTCACCTTCATTGTAACATTTCTTCAGCCTAACAAGCAAAACTCCTGCAATCCAAATCCATCCATGGGGAGAATTAGATTTACTGCTCGCTTGTGAAAATGAGAGAAGAGAAGATGGAAGGGAGGATATTTAATGCTCTGGGGAAGAACAGTGTGGAGATGACTGCATGTGGTGTTGATTGAAGGATTCAAATGAAGTCATAAGAAAAGGGTCATATGGTAGATAAACGAGGCTGCTTTTTCTCTTTGTGTCCTGTAATCTGTCAGAATGGAGATTTAAAGCACAGCTTAGCCTTGCATAACGCCGGAGAGATTTATACGCTGGCCGCACGGCTGCTGTCACTCAACGAGCACAGCATGCGTGCGTGTCTTTCAGCTGCCCCGTCGAGACCCTTCAGCCGTGACAGGGACCTGATAAACCTCCTGAAGCCACAAAGCGGGGGAGTGGGGGAACCAAAGCCTTCATTCTGCAGCTGGAAAATCACAAACAAGGGTTGACATGCTCAGAATGAGAGTTTATTCCGTGATGCCACACAAAGTGGCGGAGAGGAGGCGTCCAGGATCTAGTGTGCGAGTGGGTGGGTTTCAGTAGATCTTCTCACGGTGACATTACTTAAAATAAGCTGTAGGGTGTAAAGGTTTGATCTGTGGTAATGGATGAGGAACAGGAGAGAACTGATGCTGTGTAAGAGTATCCCGCTTTAAATCTGTTTTTGATCCCAGCTGACCTCATTGTGGGAATGCAAACTGTGATTCTCTGCCTGTAAATCATACTGCCGATGTGCAGGGAAACATCTGCTGGCTCTGCCTCTCTTTCTGGCTCACACACACACATGCAGGATGGGACTGTGTTTTAGCTGGTGACGTCATTTTCTCTGACTCATTGCGCCTTGTCGTCAGGCTGAGCACACCCTGCGTTTGCATGTGTGATTTGCTGTAATCTGCAGAAGACTGTAATGGGTGGATGGACGAAAAGTGTGTGGTCTTTTGTCTCAGTTCTTTTTTTCTTTCCTTTTTCATTGGTGGTTTGAAGTATTTTTCAATTGCAGAGCCTTGAAGATAGTGTTCATGCTCTTTAAAAGTTGTTCACATTTTTTTATAAGAACAACCACAGACATTATTTCAGAACTTGGAAATAAAGTTGGGTAGAACTTTAAAGCAGCATTAGTTTGTGAAACTAAATCCAAAGCTTTAAACATCTAACAGAACTCCAGTCAACCTATTATGTCAGAATAAAAGGTACAAATGCCAAAATTAGTACGGCATTTTTCTCAACCTAAACTGAGAGACTAGATAGGAGGAGATTCAGGGATCTACAGCATACAGAAGCATGGTAGTGCTTGGTTAAAGGATTCACCATCCAATTACATGGATGAAAAATGAAAAACATCAACCTGCATTGAAAACTTTGAGATATGCTTTTATTTTTTAATTCATAGATATGAGACAACACTGAAAAGGGGATATGTGTAAGAGAAATACAGTAATCTTGGTTTTGATTGAAATGCCGAAAGAGTTAAGAAATGAAATGGTCATATCATCTTTGATTGTTCTCTTTCTGTTTGTGGGTCCAATTTGCCTCCTTTTCCTGGTTTGTCCTGCTGTTGTCATTTCTGACCAATGGGAGAAACGATCATAACACGCGTGGCTTTGCTGTGAGTTTTAGTCCACTTGCAGAAAGTACGATTTGAACACGAACTGGACCTTACAAAAAAAAAGTCCAATCTATGTCCGGATCAAACATGCGGAGCAAAGAACTCTCCTGGTGTGAATTCAACATGGATGCTGTTGTTCAATCTGAATGAGCTTTGTTAGATGTAATTCTGCAGAGTATTGACTCAGAAGAGCAGAACACAAATGCATCTCCCACAAAACATCAAAAGACATCTATCACTATTTTCCTCTTTGCAATTATGTGCTCCTGAGGTCTGACGTTATTTTACAAAATATAGGGTCTGAAACCTTTTTGTTGTGTAAATCATGTTCTATTGAAGGGCGAAATTACCCTTCTATGTGCAGATAATATTAATGCTTAAGCCAAATGTCTTCTTTCACTTCTGCTCCTTTCTAACGCTGATTATCTTGTGCATTCTCCACCTTAAAACCTCAGACATCTTCTCCACAAATTGTTCTCTTTGCCTCCTTCAGCTGCTTGTACTCCTTCCTCTATAACCTGTCATCTTTCTATTCCGATTATTCAGAGATCAACGACAGGGAGCAACGCTTTCAGACCATGAAGGATGTCCTGCGACATTTTCCCCGGGAGAATTACGAGGTCTTCAAATATGTCATCAGCCATTTGAACAAGTGAGTGATTGGCAAGGTCAGAGACGGCCTCTGGCAACTGTGCTGACTCCACAGCTGGTGGCCTAGTCAGGTGACCTGCAGGTGATGTTACCCAAACAGGCCCACTGATTGTATCTGACATGTTTTGTTTGTTTTTCTTTTTTTTTTTAACCCATGCTGAGTCAGAGTGTGGTAATGCTGTAGCTTTCAATGTGAAATTAAAATATTTCTAAAATTAAAGATTTTACACAGAAGCTGTGCTTTAAAAATGCTGCCTGCTTCTGTTATTTATCTTTTAGTTTCCTGCTCCACTCAGGAGCGTTCCTATTTCCTCTATTGAGATGCATGGAGGCTAACTAATTGTGAACATAAAACATATTGTAAAAGACATTTTTATTTTAGCTTTAAGCCCAATAAACATTGTAAAATATAGAGTTGTCATTTTACGACCATGTTATGACACTGAAGAAATTATGTTATTTTTGGAGTAAAAAATAAAATAACTTAATATTGTTATTGTTCCAAATATATTAGATATTCTTATATATTTATATCTTATAATAATAATAAACGATTCTTTATATATATATATATATATATATATATATATATATATATATATATATATATAATTATTATTATTTATTATTATTTCAATATTAATAAGTAATATAGGTCAAATTCCACAGCCCAACAAAAAAATATTTAATATTTTACGTTACTACAAATTGGATGTCACTGATCGCTAATGTTATATTCTACGGAAGCTGAGAGCGGTCATACCCAACCTTTTTTTTGTTCTTTGTCTTCTCGAGATAACGAGATAATTATCTCATTATCACGAGAAAAAAATTATTTATTTCTCGAGTTAATGAGATCATTAACCTGTATGAGTAATGAATGAGGCTGGCCAACAGCCCTGGATTCCCAGTCCATCCATGCCTGCTGTGCCAGTGGTTATGCAGTTGCGGTACCATGTGTGCGCAAATAATATTTTTTTTACGGTAGTTTCCTATTTCTTTTCACTCCTTGTCAAGTTGTGATGGATGATTGGATTGAATGGAATGCAGTAGAAACAAATGTGACTGTTTTTCAATAAAAATCTTCAATCTGAACTCATTTTGGGGGTTAATGCATCTTATACCTGTTACAGGCGTAACACCGGGGCTGTTCAGAAAACACCCGGCACTTAGCCAGTGGAGGCATAGGTCTAATTGCTTATGAATCAGAAGTGGAAGCAAATCATCAAACCAAAAACGTTGTATCGTTACCTAAAAGTTAAACACAGGATTATTTACAGAATTACACATGGGCTACCATGACTTATAAATCAGTTTTAACACAAACCAATCATCTCGATATCACGAGAAAACAACTTTTTAATGAGAAAACTATCACCTCGTTATCACGAGAAAATGACTTTCGTTATCTTTAGATAATGACAAAATGATCTTGTTTTCTCGAGAAAACCATTGTGAAAAAGTATCTGAGGGACACGACCGCTCTCGGCTTCCATAATATTCTTACCATTTCTATTAAAAGTATTTTTATTTCTGTACACTTTAAGTCAGTGTATATAATTATTTTTTTCTGTACTTATTTTGGCCAAAATAGATGTGCTATTTGGAGAACACCTGAAATTAAATGTTGAAATAAAACATTACATTTAGAAATTAAATGTAATTCTATTTAAAACTGCTCACTATAAAAAGTTTAGTCTGATATGTTTGCAATCTACGGTTGGGAGTTTAACAAGTTGATGTTAGTTAAAAATGACTCATAAGCTGAATAGGTGGACCATTGGCATTATACCATTTATTCATTTACTTTCTGTCTTATCCTTCTGTCTTTAAGATAGTTGGATATGTTTTATGGCGCATTAAACAAGCATTTTTCCTAAATTGTCAGGAAAATGGTTTTGGTTCTGATCATTAAATTTTATGCAATTATCTGGAATTCCCTGTATACCTACCTGTTTTCATTATGATTCCCAGTTAATGCTTCTATAATAGCACAAGTTATGTCCCCAGGACGCCGCTAACTGTCTTTGGCATCCAGCAATATTTGTTTTGTGTTTAAAGTGTGTAACCTTGAAAGTTTAAAGGCTGGGAAGAATATTTCAACTCTGATTTTCATTTATCCTGTGTCTCATTATAAGAAAGAAGCAACAGTAGGAACATTAGTTTGGCTTTTTAAAAATCAATGTAAAGGTATCTTCACGGCGTGATCTAATTTCCTTCTTTATTTCCCGACTATCAATGGACATAGCAAAACGAATTCAGTTGGACTGTATAACATCATTGAAGCTTATCCCAGTTAACTTCCATTTAATAAGCATTGGCTCCTTTACCTTTTACCCTCTCAGCAATGTCTCTCATACAATCGTCCGTATAGACGAGTATTTAGGTTAATGGAAGGACAAGCTGCAGCTATATGAAAGATAAGCGTATGAATGAGGATTTTAAAATGAGTGAACAATGCAGGCTCTCAACAAAGAGAAGAACCTGTGAGGCAGCATGAAAATGTTTTTTTAATAGTAGATCTGATTATTCTCTAGTATAAAATCTTTCTCAGATCGGCTCATGTCACCATGTCGCATTTAAAGAGGTTGTCCTTTAAAAGCTTCAGTTGTGGACCTTTTAGGATTTGCTATCATGTGCAATAGTTTCTCTACAGACACATGGAGCTGTCTGTGCTTCCTGCAGCGAGGGGCGTAGAATCTGTGAGTGAGCCGTTTGTAGTTGGAATAATTATAGTTTTCTCAAAGGCAGTGCCATGTTAAAGAGAACAAAAGGATGCAGGGATCATTGTTGGTATTAAAGCAGCTGATAACAGTGGTGTAGTCTAAACTGACATTGGAGGAAATGTTTCTCTATAAACATTGACATTTTTGTCCTGATCCTTGATTTATGATCTTTGATTCATTTTTTTGCTGTGTGTACTCTTAAGGTTTGGGTGTTTTGAAACACCGTTTCTTTTTACATTGGGCCCTTGATTTTACATTATTACATAATTTTCTACTCACCCATATGAGTTTTGTGTCATTCGGAGCCGTTCTGAAGATATTCAGAAGGTTATATCCAAGTAACATCTTTCTACTTTTCATAAGTTATCATTTATGGTACACCAGCATTCATAACATGTTGGCGAATCATTGTCCCCCAGACATCCGTGGTTATAATTTTTATATTTATATCTTTTACAAACGAAGCGGCGCGTGTATGATGTCATCCGCGTGTGCCAGCTACCGTTCATTCATCTTGTCCGCTGAACTGCTGCTAGTTTTACTCACATGCCTGGAAGATGTCTAGTGCTACTACCACAGATGAACTCGCTCTTGAAATGGAATTGAACGATACAGATTAGCTCGCCGAATGAATATAAGTGGTAGAGCGTAGCCGCCTGTGGCCCGGGCTGCCTGTCACAACTCCAGTCCGGCGCGCGGATGATGTCATTATAATAACGTAAAATCAAGGGCCCGATGTAAAAAAAAAAAACCAAACAACTACATTTCCCTTTAAAAAGAAACTGAAATATAGGCCCATGTTTTTGTTTTGTTGTGTTTTTGGTGACATTGCAGCCACAGTCTTGCCACAGCTCATTTTGCTTTGTAAACATTAAACAAAAGTCTGTTTAACAAATTGTGTTTATAAATCTCATCCAGCTCCTTTTTTTTTGCAGCCTCTAGTGTTTTTTTTTTGTTTTTTTTACACACCACTAGTGGCTGTATTTTGGACAGTAGGCTGACAGGAAAGGGGGTATGAGAGAGGGAAGAGACATGGGTCGGGTGCGCTAACCACTGCGCCACCAAAGCACGCCCCAGCCTGTAGGTTTTTAAACAGGGTTTGGTTATAAAGCAATATCCCAAGCTTGGAACATCTCATTGAGAAACAACCAAGTGGCCAGTGGTAACGCTGGAGGAGCTGCAGAGATCCAAAGCTCAGGTTGAAGAATACGTTAATGGGATGTTTTATGACGAGCCATGGCGGGGACCCAGCAGTCATGACTTTGCAGTAGGGAGGCTTTGCTTTAAAAAAAGGAAGCTGGTCCAGTCAGAACAAAAATGCACGCCACAGTTTTCTGATTAAGCTTTAAAATCCTGTATTGTCATCATCCTTCCACTTAATCATTGTTCAGTACTTCCCTTTGAAATAAAATAAAATTTGTAATTGTGCAATTTAAAATCTGCTACCTTTTAGGCGGTATGAAAACCTGCACCGTATTTTTTCAAGAAGACGATGCATACACCCAAGGCTGGTTTCAATATGATGATCTTTATGTTTCTGTTTCCCAGGGTGAGTCAGAACAGCAAGTCTAACCTGATGACCAGTGAGAATCTGTCCATCTGTTTCTGGCCGACGCTGATGAGACCCGACTTTACTACCATGGACGCTCTAACTGCCACCCGCACCTACCAGACAATCATCGAGAGCTTCATCCACCAGTGTGCTTTCTTCTTCTACAATCAGCCCCTGTCCAACGGCCTCACTGGATCCCCCACATCCACGCTCTCCAGCGGAGGCACCTCGGCCTACTCCTGCATGGCTGGAGGCTACTCCTCCTCCTCCTCGACGGGTCCATCCCCTGCTGCCTACGTACTCCCCGCTACCCCACCTGTCATTCCTCATTATGGTCCTCCTTTCCACCAACACCACCATCAACACAGGTCTCCTTCCCATTCCCCACCATCCACTCCTCAGTCCACAATCCCCGCCCTGCTACCGCCCTCTCTGCACCCCCATCACCCCCCAGCTGAGCAACACACGCTGTGAACCAGGGTCCAAGGAAACGAGAAAGAAGCTGCCTGAAAGCGACGGACAGGGTTTAAAGAGTTAAGGATGAAACAGATTAAAGTTGAAGGAAGGGAAGATGTGATCTCAGAGTGAAATTAACCCTGGGAGAGATTGAGCAGGATGCAGTATGTACAGGGAGGAACGGACGTGTGTGGGAAAAGGTCGGAGGTGTTTCAGCTTCTGCTGGCATCAGAAAACAGAACAATGAAGAGCCTCTGAACTGACTGGATGAACTTTCTCCCTCTTTGACACTTCATTCCTTTGTCTCTCTGTTTCACTTCACTAGTCCCACCCTCACTGCCTTTTTGTGAATCCATACACATTGGAGGAGTAAATCGTTGGCAGAAGCTGTTGAGGGACTCAGGGGGCTTACTGAACAAACACAGGCATGTATACGCCAGTTAAATCCGCAATCTGGGAAATGTTCACCGGCCCACCTGCTGTAACGGAGCACCCTGGGGGCTGTGGCTACGACAAACTGGTGTCTTCAACATTTGTTTCTTTTTTTTGTTTTTTTTACCACATTGGAGAGGACTTGCGCAAGAAAACACGTGTTAAAGCTCACCCTACAAGATGTTCAGACCCAAGAGGCTAGCAAATTCCTATCTGTCGGCCCCCTACAAACACACACAAACTTTATAAGAGTTTAAATCAGGTTTGATCATAGCATAATGCCAGGCAGAGTTAAAGGAAAAATCCCAACCAACTGGATCTGCTGGGCAAACGGCGCTGTAACACCCTTAAAAAAAATGCTCCCTCCTTCCTGAACAGTAGGGCTGCAACGATTAGTCAACGTAATCAACCAAAAACATGTTGCAATAAAAAAAGTGTTGTTAATTCGGAGGGCAGTATCGTCAGTTCCCTAGAAGCAAAAGAAAATTAGTGAGCTTTATCCAATATTTTCTTTGACACAAATGAGACTTTAGACTGATAATAGGCAGGAATATAGCTGTGTAAAGCTGAAATATATGCCCATTTTACAAAGATATGGCTGACAGGGATCAGGTCTCCCATCCTCAGAGAGTCTGCCTCCCAGTGGAGAGGAGTGGATACTGACAACAGCTTCATTTAGATAGATATTCAATGGTTTAACTAAGGGTTATTGTTAACTGTAAACTAAATAAGGGGATAGTTTTATTTCACTTTAATCTCTTAGTGGAGCGATTGAGAGTATTTTTGGAAATGAATCATTGGGTCATGTTTATTGTTAATGCTGGGAACATTGCCTCATTTAAAAAGAACAAGTCTGACTGCAAACATATTGTTATGGTCACTTTTTTACTATTTAGTGATTTGATGTCCATGGAAACATCTAGCATTAATAAAAGACTGAACGGGTTTGTTTTTACATTCATTTGAATCTTTATTTGATGTTTTAAGCATAAAGAATATCAAATCTTACTGAAATAATAATTATAAATGAATTCAATTAAATTTCAAATGTTTCTTTTTAACTCAGCTTTATAAGTGAAATAGGATTAGTGGATAGTGGCAACACCAGGAAATAAAGGAAGATTTAAAAAATGTGTAGACTAGAGTGAGTCAAAATATTTTTACAAGCAACCTCAAGTGGAATTTTTAACACCAGAACGGGAAGATTGAGATTACAAAAATATGAAGTGATTAGTCGACTAATTGGGGGGAAAAAACAACAACCAACAGATGAATCAAGTGTTAAAATAGTCGTTGGTTGCAGCCCTACCGGAAAGCATTTTTCTTTTTCTTTTTTTCATATACATGATTCAGCTGATCTTGGGAAATGTGCAGACTATCTAAAATGTCTGTATTGCCATTTGTGTTCCTGCATTCCTGCCTTTTTATTTCTGTTTGCTGAATCTGAATTGCCCTCTGTTTGACGTTAGCAGGAATAATTCCAGTGTTGGACCATTTCCTGTCTTGTTTCTTTTCATGCTGTGGTGGTTTTTTACTACCAACCCTGTGTTTTTGCAGTTTTTCATTGCGAGGATGTTTAAAAAAAGAAAAAAAAAAAAGCACTTTTCTGAGACAGATTCTCAATCAGGGGACTACCTTTGAGTGGTAGCCAGTTATGTTGTCTGTTGGCACAGTTGCCACTCTCTCTCTGGGAGTACAACACTGACATCTAGAGGTAGACCGGGGTATGCCTACCACTGAAATATGGGCGTTGTACTGTCCTTCCCTGTACTGAGCTCTCTGTAGCATCTGGTGCAGCGGTCAACATTATGTGGAATATGTTCAAATTAAGCAAATTAGGTGCATTAGTGTAGATTTACCGATTGACAGTTTAGACTCAGATGCAAATCAATAGATATATGAAATTCTAAGATATTGCAAATCCTATTTTGATGCAGTTTTCTCTGTTGCAGCCAACGCAAAGCTTAAGAAGGGAACCCTGTGTCTGTCAGATACCGTTTTTAAGCAAAAGACGAATTAAACCTGGTAGATTTTTATCATTGCAAATAATTGTAAACCACTTCTCCGAACTTTTCGTAAATACAATGTCTTTTCTGGTGCTCTTAATGGGCAACGGAGAAATTATAACCACTAAACCAAGAGTTCAACCCCACTGTGTACCACTGCATCCCCTGTCCAAAAGAGACAGCAAAAAGAGAACAGACATCCCATTCATCTTCCCGCATGACCCGAGCAGAGCATCGCTGAATTCCTCAGCCAAGGCCGCCGTTACTGTAGAAACCAGCCAAGATGCAGCTGAAGGAGAAGGGGATTGCATGTCCCACGAGTGTCTTTGGACACAAAGACAAAAAGGCTTAACAAATATATATATACTTTCAACAAATCAATGAAGACTGAAGATTTTATCGGTTCACATTAGTCAATCACTTGGTGTGTTCGGGTGCATGTGAGAGTAGATCTGGCCAGAAGTAACTGGGTGGAATGTGACACTGTTTGTGGTCATTTTCCCCACTGTGTAACCCTGTTAGCGCTTCCAGATTACACACACTGATCCGAAGAGGGAGAACTGTGAGAGAACGAGCGGGGGGTAGATAGGCGACGTACGGGTGAATGGGAACATTATCTGGGAGACGGAGAGGGAAGGATGGGGCGAGCTGGCCGGCGGTGCTCCCTTTGTACATCGACCTGTTAATACTGAACCGACTGTGAGGCAGCCAAAGACTCGGGAAAGAAAAGTGACAACTAAAGAAATGCATTCCAATATAAAATTTTGGTTCAGTAATTAAACGAATTGTGGCTGCATTATTGTTATTATTTGTTAATTATGCAACAATGGTGACAGATGTCTAAGTTAAATCAAGCAACATTATATTCAACTGCTTGTTGTTGGGGGGGAGGGGTCTAAAACTTTGCCCTTTTAGTCTATGGTTATAGAAACACTTCTTTTCTTTTCATGTTTAGTTTTAAGAATAAAAAAAAAACAAGGTATTTTTTTTTCGAGCAACCTATTTGTGAGCAATGAAGTGACCGGCCCAGTATAATGCATGATTTCTTCCCAACAGAAAGGAAGAGGGCTTCAACACTCTCACTATTTAAGTGGTGATGATGATATAAAGTAAAAAAAATAATATAGAGTAAATGGCAGGTGAAGGAAGTTGATGGTGAGAGTGATTTAAAAATATATATAAATGAAGTACTGTAAAGTGAAAAGATGACGTCACGCAAAAAACTTCTTTATTTGCTGAGTATGGTAATTTGTCACAGTGGGAATGGCGTATACAGCAAGGCCTTATGTGATCTGTATTATAGTTAATAAATCAAATCTTGCTAAGCTCATTGTTTGCTGTCTTTTTTTTTAATCAGTCATGTAAAACTACAGGAGTTAATTTAATATACTGGTGAAGAGTTTCGGTCATCCAGGTCATAGTCATTCCAAAAAAGCTGAAAAACAAACCACTGGACTTTGTTTCCAAGTTATAGATTTTTCGTTTCCCATCCAGGAAGCTTCTTAAGCCTGTTTTTGGAACAAGAGAACCTTCATTTTTCTTCCCATCACCCCATTTATGGAGATTTAACATAATCTGCTTCAAACCTTCATGCCAATGATGAATTTACAGCAAAGCTGCAGGTAATTTTTTTTTTGGTAGACGCTGTGGAAATGTTTAATGATTTGTGTTGTGCAGATATTACCAAAAGGTAGTAGGACATATTTTCAGGAAAAAAATACTTTGAGGTGGATGTTATGTTCTTTTATTTAATATATCCTGGTAAAAAAAAAACAAGCTGTTGTTTGGCTGTAGGGATTTAAGGTTGAGTCCAGTGAAAAAACAATCTAGACATGGAAATCTTTAAGCGCCTTATTTATGTCAACAATTTCCAAGGTAATATAAAATATCTTAAGTGTTTAAGGAAGTAAGTACTGTATCGATTGAAGCCCCTGATGTGGTTTTACAGTAGTTAATATGTTGCGTGGGGTGTAAAACACACATGGGATTAGATTTAAGTCACCAGTATGACTTTTAGGCTGACATGTCACATGACTAAGGCAACAGCCACGGAGCAGTGATTAAAAGTAGCAAACAGCCATGCATTGTAATTATCCATCCATTGGTCAAGGTTCAAGTATCTTTATTATTCCTCAGGGGCAGTTTCATGCACAGCCAGTAGTAAAACCAAAGCAGGAAGCAATGAGCCTCGTGCACCCCAAAGTCACACCATATTAAAACATCTAATCACTTTAGGTACAAATTGATGTTTTAGCCTACCTGGACAGGGCACTGGTCAACAGCATGGCAACACGGAGATGCATATAACAGACAATATACGCAAACAATCAGAAGGCAGAGTACATGATGAGAACTCAAATGCATATTCAGGAAAAAAACATGAGCTCTTGGATTTAATCACGGTGCATACTCTGATATATTTCAATTGATTAGTTAGAATTATAACTAACAGAAATTAAGATATCTTTCATATCTGTTCTGAAAATTATCATCAGCCTCTATGCCCATCATAAATCAACAGTCTTACAGTCTGCCTGACAAGAATATGGCTGAAGTGCTCGCAGAAGGAAACCTCCATAATACTGATGTGGATGCTTGTACTCAGTTTGCAATTATTCTTGTTGTCTTCTCCCAAACCTAATGATGACGTGTGACATGAGGTGAAACAGACGTTTGTTGTATATAACTTACGTATTCTACTGTTCTATATAATTGTATCACTGCTTATTCAGGACCAGGTCTTGGGGCAGCGGTCTCATCAGAGACTCTCCAACTTCCCTCTCCCCAGATACCTTCTGTAGCTCCCCTGGGGGAAGCCTGAATCATAGTCCCTCCAGCATGTTCTAGGCCGTCCCCTGGGCCTAGAACATGCTGGACCTTGTCCTGGCTGGACATGCCTGGAACATCTCTCAAGGGAAGAATCTTGCCCAGCTTGTACAGGAACCTGATACCCTGACTGTACTCCTGGGGTCCCTCACCTGGAATCTGAAAGAAGCTCTCCAGAAGGTGAGAGTTGAATAGGACCCTGACTGTAGGTTCCACCACACATTCCCACAAGAACGTCACACAATTAGAATTGAATAGAAAATCTCTTTATTGTCCAACAATGGGGAAATTCTGGTGTTTACAGCAGCAAAAAGATTATTAAAAAAATTGTCACACAAATATAGCCCTTAGAAAAATGTATAAGAATAACATAATAGTAAAGAATTAAAAGATAAAAAATAAAATACTGTACTGTATAGTGTATTAACAATATAAAAACTTTGCATCTGGAGAATACATAAGGAATATACAGATATGGACATTTTTACAGTAATGGTTATTTGAAAATGGAAGCAACATCAGAGATGCACAAAATGACAGCAGCACATTATTTAATTGACTAAGGTAGAAACTGCAAAATCATTGTGAATGTAACAACTTTTTAAGGTTGTTTGCAACAGTGGTGGTTTTAGAGTCTTACAGCTGCTGGGAAGAAGGATCTGTGATAATGTTCCTGGTGCATTTAGGGTTCAGCAGTCTGTCACTGCTTTCCAGTTCTGCAACAGGTTCACGCATGGGGTGGGAGACATTATCCAACAGAGATGTTAATTTAGTCAGGAGTCCAGAGGGCATCCAATCACAGAGCTGGCATTCCTGATCTCATCTTAAGCCGCTTTCTCTCAGCTACAGAGAAGCCACTTCTCCAACAGACTGCTCCATAGAAGATGGCTGATGCCACAACAGAGTCATAGAAGGTCTTTAGGGGCACTCCGTGCACTCCAAAAGACTTCAATCTCCTCAGCAGGAAGAGTCTGCTATAACCCTTCTTATAGAGAGCCTCAGCGTTGTGAGTCCAGTCCAGTTTGTTATTCAGGTGAACACCAAGGTACTTATAAGAGTCCACTGTCTCCATGTCCCTTTCCTGGATGTTCACTGGTGTCAGTGGGGTGGATCTGGATCTGTTTTCCCTGCATTTATCAGAAGGTGGTTCTGCTGGCACCAGACCATGAAGTTCTGGGTCCACTGTCTGTACTCTGAGTCGTCCCCACCTGTGATGAGGCCAACTATGGCAGAATCACAATCCCACAAGACCCTCACACAATTAGGCCTGCCAAGTCTGTCCAGCTTCCTCCTCTTCCACCAGGTGGTGATTGGTCGACAGCTTTTTTCCAGATTTAGTGAAATGTGAAAGATTTATACACAGCCTTTTTCCTCATACACCTTTTTAGTTGTTCGGTCTGTTAATTTCTCTATCCATATGTACATTTCTTATTAAGTCAATTATTTTTTTCTACAACTGTCTATCAATTTCTTCATTTATCCTTCCTTCCTTCCTTCCTTCCTTCCTTCCTTCCTTCCTTCCTTCCTTCCTTCCTTCGTATTTACCCCTTTTCCTCAGTTCTTTATAGTTTTTTTTTCTCGTATACTTCAAAATTGAAGCATAGCACCCAAAAAGCATATCAAAGTACAATTCTTTTAAATACTACAAAAAAACGAAACAAGAATTTAGTACATTTCTCTCGCAAAATGTACAGGAATGCTGTTTATTTTCAGCGTCAACATTAGAACGAATTGGATTGTCTTTTATTGTTTAATTTCACCATGAATGGCAATGATTATATAATCATTACCTTACATTTAAATCTACTAGCATATCTGTTAACTAACTAGCCTAACATTTCTGAGATGAAAATTAATTTAAGGAGAATCATGATCTAAGTCGGCATCAAAATCTTTCCATTCTAATGACTAAAAAGTTTTACCTTTCAAATAGTGTCAAGTTGCACTGGTTTTTTTCTCACATGTTGCACACTGATGAGGGACACTTATGCTCCTTTGGGAGAATGGATTGGGTGACTGCAGCCCAAAGCTGTCAGGGGGGCCCTGGGAGATATCGCTGAGAGGGGGCTCAGTCTGTGCCATTTCAGGGTGATGTAAGGACCCCAGTCCCTGAGAGGGTGGTGTGAAGGCCTCGCTGCCATTTCATGGTGCCCTAAGCTGACCTTTTCATAGAGTCAAACCAAAGGAAATCCATGTCCATGACCTTTGTGGCTCATCTCCTCGTGCTGGCACAGGAAGAGAAAAAAATTAGCTTCTGAGTGGGGATGAAAAGGGCAGGCCTCTGTGCACACAGGAACATGACCCTTAAACTCTAACCTTTAAAGCATCATGGGGGAAAACACGGCCTGGGGGTTGATTGGAAATCAAATATGGGAAATGTAAACACTGTATAACAGGCCAACTTGGTACAAGGTCTAGCAAAACTTCCCATACGCTTTTAACTTTTTCATATGTTTCCTCAATACAACCACAAAACTAGATTTTATTGGTGTTTTCTAAGATTGACCAACACAAAAAACTGCATAGCTATAATGTGGATGTTTTCTATTTTTTTTATCTCTTTATTTCATTTTCAAAAATAAAAATCTAAAAACAGAGCCAGTCACTTTGGTTTTTTTTACATTTATACTTCCAATAAATTATACTACAAGCAATTTAGTATAGCAGTCCCATTGTAAGTAAACAAAGTGGACCAATTCTGAACTACATCTCACAGAGCCGTGTTCAGTCAGGAACCAGAGCATGGAAAGCAGACAGCAGGAGGCTGCTGATCACCTTCCTACTAAACAATGGCCCTATACATGCATTGGTTTACCTTTCCTATGGGTAGTAAAAAAAAATGCTTCCAATAAGTTTTGATTTCTTACTTGAAAACTGTTCACTGACTGTCTACATTACATCAATTTTAACAGAGTTTCAACTACTTTGCAAGGATGAGTGAGCAAATAATTCAGTCTTTTAATGTGAATACACTATATAACAGAGGTCTTCAACAGGGGGTCTGCGACCCCTAGGGGGTCCATGGAGGTGCTGCATGGGGTCGCGAAAGTTCTGGTTGGTTAGACTTTCTTTTTTTTTTTTTATATTCTCCCCTGCAATTTTTTTCCACTAATTGAAATGTCTTTAAATCCACATTAACATGAATTCAA